ATGCGGCGATAATGGTCACAAAATAGCAGATGTAGGTCATAAGTTATATATATATATATATATATATATATATATATATATATATAATAAAATCCTCAAAATCAAAAAAATAATAAGTATAATAAAGTATGTTTAGCAGATGTTCATATTTCAAATTCCTGTCGACAGGCGGCACTTGTGTATTGTTTTCTGCTCCAACATCAATTTTGAATTCAGACTTGTTTACATTATGATTTAGAATACATTTTTGTCCATGGTTCCAAAGAAAAGTCCCAGTGCTAATGCTAAGCATAAGGCTATATTGCTAAAAGATAAGGTGGAAATTAATTATTTTATTCAGAATACTGTAATAAACACTGGGAAGTGCTTATTTGCAATTTATATTGTCATTTTTTGTTCTAAGTTGCGACCCCTTGGAACCAATTAACAACGTAGGGCGAAGTATATCTGTGCCCTGAAAATAGTTTTATATTGGCAGATGCTTTATCACCGCACACCTTTAGATATTTAATGCCACACCTTTTGTTAAATTTATGTAACCAGCCTGCTGAATATTCACAGTTACTCAACTCTGCAAGTTTTTGTTTACCTCCGCTGTGGCCTGGTATTGAAGTCACAACTCTTTGGGTCAAATCACGAGATTACATCAACCAACATTTTTATCCTCTGGGCCATGTCACCTTGAAGAAGTAATCCAGTGGCTTGACCCAGAGTTGTTAGTTGAATACCTGGCATAGAGCTGAACAAAAACTTGGTGAGTTGAGTTGCTAAGGGAAATAACTGAAACTGAGACATCCAGAAGAGGCATGGCACGTGGAACTAGAACAATCGACCCCCCCCCCGTGGCATGAAATAAAGTGTTCAGTTCAAAATTACAATCACCTGAAGAAGGCCAGTGTGTACAAATGTCAAAAACATTGTGAATATTACAACTGAGATGAGGACAACAGTCCAGACAATGTAAATAGTGTAGTTACAATACCTCGTCTCAGAAATATAGACAGATCCTGAAGAAGGCCGGAGCGTTCAACAGCCAAAAACGTTGTGAATATGATAATGAAGATGAGGATAAAAGTCCGAACAATATAAATAGTTACAATACATCATGTCAGATATATAGACAGATATTGAAGAAGGCCAGAGCATGCAATGGCTGAAACATCATGAATATCACAACAAAGATGAGGATAACAGTCCGAACAATGTAATAGTGTAGTTACAATACCTCGTCTCAGAAATATATGCAGACCTGAAGAAGGCTGAAGCGTACAATGGCCAAAACTGTTGTGAATATGACAACAAAGATGAGGATAACAGTCCGAACACTGTAATAGTGTAGTTACAATACCTCGTCTCAGAAATATATGCAGACCTGAAGAAGGCTGAAGCGTACAATGGCCAAAACTGTTGTGAATATGACAACAAAGATGAGGATAACAGTCCGAACAATGTAAATAGATTTATTTTTTCCCCCGGTTCGATGATTTTTTGGAAATGAAGACCTCTTCAACTGTTTCTTCTGTTGACCTGTTTTGGTTACTCTAAATATTTCATCTTTGTTAATTGTTTTGATCAAGAAAATGAATCAAATGCTTATTGGCTGTTTGCTTATGTCCTGCTTACCACAGATATTTGTTGTGCTGTTTAATCTTTCTTATCAATTGTTTAAATTCAGTAGATGTTTTTTGAAAAAAATCATTTTAATTTATTTTAAAATGGAGCATTATTATTAATTTTTGGCTATTGTTTTTCTTTATCTTTTCTCACAACTTCCTAAGTTGAATACCTCCAACCATAAAGTGGTGCGAATTGAATACCCTACAACTATAAAATAGTGAGAATTGTATACCCTCCAACCATAAAATAGTGCAAATTGAATACCTTCCAGCCATAAAACTGTGCGAACTGAATACTCTCCAACCATAAAATGGTGTGAATTGTTACCCTCCAACCATAAAATGGTGTGAATTAAATACTCTTCAACTATAAAATAGTGTAGATTGAATACCTTCCAACCATAAAATAGTGCAAATTTGAAATAAAAAGAAATTGCTTAAAAAAAAAAAAAAACCTTGAACCAAAATTCCATATTGTGGAAGCTAGTCTTTCATGGATGATGCTTTAACCAACTCAGCCATGCAAATCTAAAATCTGTATTGTCACCTTTCTATTCCAACTCTTTAAGCCATATTGTTTAGTCTTTTGCTTCCTAAAAATAGTTTTGAATTATTTTAACTCTGACATAAAGTATTTTTTTAAATTTTTATTTGTCTTCATTTTTTTTTTTCAAGGTCAATGATTTTGAGTAAAGAACTGTCTTCTGTGTAGCCATAGACTTCTGTGACCAAATTGTTTAAATCATTGTCCATGAAAAACAAACTCCTGGTAGATGATATGTCTGTTCAAGTCTCGGAAGCCAAGTTCAAATTACTTCACTTATATGCAAAACCATTGAGAAAGGTATTAAACCTTCTTCTCCCTCCCAGCTGTGGGTTAAATAGTAGAACTTTTATTTGGAAAAATTATTCTTACGATCCCAAATATTTTTTTGGCTTTAAATAACTCTCAAAATGATTTCTATTTGTAGGAAAAGCCCCTGGAGACACCATCTCGCCAACCTCGTCGGTCCAAATCGATAGCTATGAAGAAAATCCAGCAGATGTCCAGCACTGTGAAAGAAAATTCACCAATAAACAAGAGGAAAAAATCTACAGATGAGAAAACTTCAGGATCTGATGACCATGTGTCTGATTCTTCAATATCCAAAGGAAAAAATGCTTTGAGCCGAATTAAAAACTTGACCAGCAGTTTTCGTTCGCCTTCATTTAGAAATGGTGAGTATTGGTGCTAGGATCCAGTTTTGTTTTCTTTATGTACATATCGGTGCTGGGATCCGGTTTTGTTATTTTTATGTGCATATCAGTGCTAGCATCCAGTTTTGTTATTTTTATGTGCATATCAGTGCTAGGATCCAGTTTTGTTATTTTTATGTGCATATCAGTGCTAGGATCCAGCGTTGTTATTTTTATGTGCATATCGGTGCTAGGATCCAGTTTTGTTATTTCTATGTACATATCGGTGCTAGGATCCAGCAATGTTATTTTTATGTACATATAGGTGCTAGGATCCGGTTTTGTTATTTTTATGTGTCTATCAGTGCTAGGATCCAGTTTTGTTATTTTTATGTACATATCGGTGCTAGGATCCAGTTTTGTTATTTTTATGTGCATATCGGTGCTAGGATCCAGTGTGTTAAACAAAACCAAACAAATAGCTTTAATTAAATTCTCAAACCAAAACAAAACTACTAAATAAGTGATATAAACAAATTTTTACTACGTTAATAAAAATACACCGGTTTAAAAAAAAATAAATAAATAAGATAAGAAACAAAAAATAAAAATAAATAAAAACAAGCAAAATAATTTAACCCAAATAAATAAATAAACGACTTCCAGTAAAATAACCGCCATAATAGACTACCCACAATGCACCACTGACCCGTATATATATAAATAGCCGAGAAAAAATAACAGCACACGTGGCCTGCCGATTGCATATAACATGAAACAGACTGTCGACTTCTATGTTCACTTTTATATTTACACAGGCTCTATCTCTGATATTGAGCACTTTATGCCATAAATATAGCACACCTTAAGACTATATTTCTTTATATATATATATATATATATATATATATATATATATAGGTAATAATCCATTGGTATATAATCCAAGTGAATCCTAATAATATAAAATATTGAAACTGATCTACAAAAAGAGCTCAATGTATTTATTATAAAAGAGCATATAAGTTATATAATAGCGGTTTGAGTCAAAAAATGCAAACATTTTAACGTTAGTTGAAATAGCTATTCCCATGAGGTAATTTTAAAATTTCTATTTATATATATATATATATATATATATTTTTAGGTCTGATGAATTGGATTGTGATTACAATTCCAATGTAATAAATTATAACCATGGAATATTAGTGTTTGAGCCTTTTATATTCTTGCTCTGTACTGGAAATTGAGCTATCCTCTTGGACATTTATATATATATATATATATATATATATATATATTGACTACTAATATTATCTATCCAAAATTACCTCATCAAAATAGCTATTTCAACCAACACATTACAATGTTGGTATTTTTCAACTCAGATAATGTGTTGATATAAAATCATAAACTTAAAAATTAAACATTTAAAAAAAAAAAAAAAAAAAGGAGAAGAGAAAAAAGAAAGAAAAAAGGAAGCAGGAGGCCCCACCATTGAAAATATAGATATTAAATGAACCCAACCCCCAGTATAATAGAAGTGGGGGGAGTGGAAATGGAGATGGTTAATATAACCTTGACCTATATTTTAAGTTTTAATATCCCAAGTTAGGTTAGAATGGAATCACAAAATTAAAGACACTGAGTTCAAAGAATTTGAAAAATTAAAATAGAAAATAATAAATATCAGTTATAAGACATAGAACAAAAAATTATCTAGAATTCTATGAGGGTGGTTTGATTCTTTACTGATGTGTCTATGGTTATATAAATACATATATATATATATATATATATATATATAAAGAAATATAGTCTTAAGATGTGCTATATTTATGGGATAAAGTGCTCAATATCAGAGATAGAGCGTGTGTAAATATAAAAATAACATAGAAGTCAACACTTAGAGGCGACAGTCTGTTTTCATATGCTAGATGCAATCGTCAGGCCACCTGACCATATATATATATATATATATATATATATATATATATATATATATATATATAGTGGTATATTTTAAATATTTGTATACATACAAATTTTTAATTTATTGTATTTCCAACTAATGATTAAATGTTTTGGTTTTGTGCACTTTGTACCTTCATATACGCTCAGAAAATAACTCCTTTTTTATTTTATTTTTTTTCCCTCTTTTTGCGTGTTTTAGCAAAGAACCTCTTGACCAGTCCCCGTACTTGGTCAATGAAAGAGACGCCAAAGAAGGACATTCCCGGTTCCCCAAAAATCCCATGGAACTCATCTTCTCGAAAAGGGACCTCCTCCTCTTCGTCCATTTCAAAGAAAACCAACCCCGCACTGAACACGTCTGACGCTGACTCTAGACGCCACCGAGAACTGCGTAATCTTTTATCAGATGCAACCTCTGGGCCCCAGCGAAAACGGCGCTTGTACAAAGAAGAAATAATTGGACCGATGAGCTATGAGGTAAGTCTTTCTTCCAGTTTAATTGGATCATGTTTTTTTTACATTGAGGTTCATTCTGTACAAGGCCTGGGAGCCACTCGAGGTAGGAGGTTACAGAGATATAAAATAAATATAAACATATATGAACAGTGATAGATCTTTTTTTACAGTTAGGAAGAGTGTTACAGAGTAATAGGCAGTATATGTGGATATGTGGGGAAGATAACAGTTAATCCTAAACTTGAACAGGTTAAGTGATCAGGAAAACATCCTCTTGGGAGTCAGTTTCAACTGTTCATTTTAAGCCCTAAGCTCCACACCATTATAGAGACTACATTTTTTTATTTTTACAGTAAGGTTCAATCTGTACAAGGTTGGCGGCCAATCAGGGTTGGAGGGTACATTAAGAGACAGTTTATCTGGATAGGAGAGGAAGATAAGGGTTAACCCTAGACTTGACCAGGCCAAGATTGTAGCGATTGTGGAGTTGGTTCCACAGGGCAGTGGTTCTCAGGAAGAAGCTTTTCACTAATGGAATATGAAGGGAATAAGGGTAGTTCACTACAATGGGCGTGGCATGGTGGGTCTTATCTGTGAAGGTCACAACTGGTGGAGCTAAGGAATGTATCTTGTCTGAGCACTTTCCATGGAAATAGCGATAGATCAGTGAGAGGCTTGTGGTGTCATGTCTATGGGAGAGGGGTTGCTAGGTGGAAAATAATTTGTCAGCCACAAGGACGTGGAGACACTACTGGGCTTTATCAAGACTGGAAAGTGAGGACTGGGCAGCTCCTGCTCAGATATATCTGTGGTATGTCCTTCTAATTAAAAAAAAAAAAAAAGAAATAATGCAATATCTCATGTGCATACACATGTTCATGAAGATGTTACAATAGTTAGCTGGCAAATCTTGAAGACCATTTCGCACAACAATGACCTCAATCCTCACTCGGTTCTTGACTAATCTTTAAGCTTTTTCTTTTTTTAATCATTTCATCCCAAGAAAGGCAATAAAGCCACTAGGACACAATGGGTTATTAAGCATTAGATAATATGTGAAAACTACTCTTAAGGAGAGAGGACACTAAAAGAACAAGAATTAGGAAGACAGAAGATAACAATTGATATTGTATTTAAATTTTTGAATATCAAAGTTGACAGGAAAGCAAGAAGCCAGAAGAGAGTTCCACAAGTGAAAATTGAGTGAGAACAATAGAAGAGTAATCAGGAAGACAGCAGATAATGATTGACATTGCATTTAAATTTTTGAAGATCAAAGTCGACAGGAAAGCAAGAAGCCAGAAGAGAGTTCCACAAGGGAAAATTGAGTGAGAACAATAGAAGAGTAATCAGGAAGACAGTAGATAACAATTGACATTGTATTTAAATTTTTGAAGATTAAAGTTGACAGGAAAGCAAGAAGCCAGAAGAGAGTTCCACAAGTGAAAATTGAGTGAGAACAATAGAAGAGTAATCAGGAAGACAGTGAGGAATGCAATAGAAGAAACTGTTAACATAGAACTTCCAGTTGGCCATTTCAACTTTAAATTGACGAGACCTTGTTGCCAATCTAGTGTTGTGCTTAAATTCATAAAGTCTAGGTACCATAGAGGAAAGTTCATGAGAACAATTACCATGAAAGTATTTCTAGAAAAGGCACAGGGAAGCTATGTTACAGTGGTGGGAAACAGACCGAAGAAAGGATCGTTCACATTGGTTCAATGATCCCGACTATGGTTGAATACTCATAATGACACAAGCACAGAAAGCAGGGGGGGGGGGGTCACTGAGAAATTTAAATATGTATATCAATAATAAATATGCGTGTTTTTTTTTTGTTTTTTTCCACACTTGTAGCACAACTCTTACCTTCATGCATGATTTGATCAACAGATGTTGATTGAAAAGTGACCCAGAACCTGACGATTTCATTGTGCATAAAATTCATAGTTTTGCTACAGGTGAGGTAAAAATGTATATTTATTATTAATATAAATTATATCTTTGTTATTTGTTGTGGTATGATCCACCTAATTTACATAGTGGAGTACCGACCATATAAATATGTATTGAGTTTATAATCTTGAAATTTAAAAAATCCAATCAAGACTCTGCCCGACTGGAGATTAAGTCAACCCATTCTACATCCACAAATTCCCAAGAATATACAAAACTAACTATTGAAATAAGGAAACCTTTTATTGTTTCAATACATTTTGTTCATTGGGAAGATTTTTGTAATAACCATAATCGCAGTATTATTCCATTTTATCAAAAATAAATACTTCAACAATGAATCATCCTAAACCAAATTTATATGGTTGATTCCAATTGAAAATTAGGTGGATTTATATATCATATTTTCCCTGAACATGAGGTACAACATTTGTGAAAGATTATCAGTCATGTCAGATCAGATTATCTTAGTAAATACAGATCATGAGTTTTGTAGTTGTTGTTGGTGGCATTAAATTCTTGATCTTAATATTTGGTCTTTTAACCCAAAACAGCAAGTAAAAGGTTGTGTAGATGTGCACAAAATGGATTTTAATACGTTTTCATGCCTATTTTTTTTATATATACAGTTTAGACATATGGGAGAAAATAAAGCATCAGTTTAAATAGATTCAAAGGGAATATAGTTTCAACTGATGCCTTCTTTTACATACACCACAGAAAATTTGAGGCCACCCTAGTAATATTTTTAAATTGACCCCAAAAGCAGTTGTTTTTTGTATTTTAAATAAGAGAAAATTATTATACATTGTTAAAAAAAGGGAGACATGTAAATTAGGTGGATCGTACCACAACATTATTATACATACAAGTATTATTCTGTTAGCACCAGCACTGAATGTGCAATATTTTATTGATATATTACTTCCCCCTTTTTTTCTTTTCCCCCCTCTCCTCTTCTACATATCATTTCTGTTGAGTTGACCGATTAAATACGTCAATGTCTGATCCTTACCCCTCCTTCTTCAATTTTAAGTATTATAAAGAAATATAAAAATAAATTTTAAAACTCTCCCTTCTCTCTTTAAACTCGGCCATGTCTCTCACACCATCCCTCACCAACCTCGATGGCAACTTATATAAGCTTAATACTGCCCGTCAAAAGTGTAAATTTTAATTTCATTTTTCATTTCACCTTTTGAAAGTGATGTCTGAAGACCCAGGAAAAAATAAAAGTCTCTTGTGAAATAAATTATTACAATGTAGCCTTAAAGTGGTCTGTTTTTCTTTAAATTAATAATTTCGGCCTTGTGCCACATCTAAGCTATACTTGGAAAATCACTATATAAAAAGAAAGAACAGTCAGATTTATAATCCACAGCTCTTTAGCATTAATTTTTAGAAAAAAATACTCGATACACAGTAGAGCATATTATAATATTATTATTTAAAAAATGCGTTGAATACATATTTTAAATTATAATATTATATATATATATATAGGATTTTGTTGTTTAATAATATATATATATATATATATATATATTTATTCAAAAATTATAACATAAATATGTTATAAAATCACTACAAAAATAGCCATTTTGTTTCAACACTTCTAACACCATCACTTGATAAGACACCCGAAGTGTTTCAACAAAATGGCTATTTCTGTAGTGATTTTATAACATATTTATGTTATAATTTTCGAATAAATAATTATATTTGCTCTACTCTGTATTGAGCACTCTTTTAATAGTATTTGTTAGTTATTGGAATTTATACCGTATACACCAATCCTATACTTGTGTGTGTGTGTGTGTGTGTATATATATATATATATATATATATATAGCACATGCAGCACTCAATGTGTGATATACAGGGTGTGTGTGTTTATATATATATATATATATATTTAGCATCAGTGCTCAATGTGTGATATACAGGGTGTTTGTGTGTGTGTGTATATATATATATATATATATATATATATATATATTAGCACCAGCACTCAATGTGCGATATACAGAGTATTCACAAAGTCTCTTTATAATTAAAATAAAATTTATTACAAAAGCAAATGAACAGACAAATATGTGTAAATTGTTACAAAAGGAGGAGTAGATATTGAAGTTTTTTAACTAATTTAATCCACCCCTATTATGAGTGCCATTTGTTGCAGGAAGCATATCAAGACGGTACCCGATTCCTTGCCATGTTCATTGTAGCATAGCCTCAACAATGGTGGCAATGGCATCAGTGATCTTTTGCTTTAGATCAGTGATGTTCTTCCATATCTTTGTTCAATACATGGTATCTTTAACATAACCCCATGGAAAGAAGTTGAGAGGAGTGATATCTGGTGAACGAGGTGGCCATGGATTTGGGCCATCCCTTCCAATCAACAGGTCTGGAAATATTAGGGGTTCATTTAACAGCACCTCTTTCATCAACAAAATACCTGAAATATACAAATGCAATGGGATTAAAAAACTTTGATAATTACTGAGTACATAGAATAAATCTGAATTACTGATAAATATAGCTAGACATCCGATTGAGTTCGATCCCGGCTCAAAGGAATCGGATGTCTAGCCATCTTTTTCAGTATCTTTTCATCATCAGGAGACCTGAAATACACAAATGCAATGTGATAAAAAACTTTGATAACTACTGAGTACATAGAATAAATCTGAATTACTGATAAATATAGCTAGACATCCGATTGAGTTCGATCCCGCTCTTTTTTCTCAGATGTCTAGCCATCTTTATCAGTTCCTCTTTCATCATCAGGAGACCTGAAATACACAAATGCAATGTGATAAAAACTTTGATAACTACTGAGTACATAGAATAAATCTGAATTACTGATAAATATAGCTAGACATCTGATTGAGTTAATCCCTCTCAAGGAATCAGATGTCTAGCCATCTTTATCAGTACCTCTTTCATCATCAGGAGACCTCAAATACACAAATGCAATGTGATTAAAAACTTTGATAAGTGCTGAGTACATAGAACAAATCTGATTAAGATCTCTCATCAACTGCCTTTGTAATATATTTTTTAAACTGTAAAGAGACTTTATGGACATATCCTGTATTGCCTAAAATAAACTAAATAATGTATGGAATATATAAGAAATGCATACAGACGGCTTTAGATGTATTTCATTTTATAGAATATAACCCTATTATAAAATAAAGTGTTTCACACTTTCTTGGTTACATATACAAAATAGTTGGGTTGGAGAATTTTACAATATATCAACCCTTCTTAGGTTATTTAATGTCAATTGCTTTTTTTTATTATTATTTCAACTGTAGACAAACAATGGTTGTGTTTATACATAAGACCAGAGGTAAACATTGGTCTTTATACACGAGACCAGAGGTAAACATTGGTCTTTATGTGACGGTTACACACCTGGCCCAGGGTCGAATCCCTTGGTTACGGCGCCAACTGTGACGTCGCTCCTCCTGGTCGCTCCTCCTGGTTCCAAGCGTGCCGCTCCAACCCCTTGGTTGGATGATCACCAGCCTCGCCTTTCCCAACTCGCTTCCAATACCTGGTCACTAAAGCAACTGTACCGATCTCCGGTCTGTCTACCCACGCTGTGTTTAGATCTTAGACAGACGGGACCAGCAGGGATTGGGGCGATACAAGTTGAGTCCGACGGGGGTGGCAAAACACAAATAAAAGAAAAAAAACTCACGAGACAAAAAAATTGCTGATGAAAAAAAAAAAGTAACAACCTTTTATATCTTAATGTCCGTTACATAAAAACAAAATTGTTCTCAATTCCCGACCCACTCTGTGGACTATGGCACCAAGCTTCTATCACACAACCTAAAGATTTTGAATTGCCTACTCTTTAGAATTGTGTATGTCGGAGTGTGGTTTGGTTCGACACTGGGGCTAATTTCTATCGATCATTCGCAGTTGATTCTTCTCTTCGACTTGAGTTGTATTTCTTCTTCTTCGTGGATCTTCTTGGGCGACTTAGGCTGGAAGTTCTCTTGTCTTCGACTTGGGCTGGAAGGATTTCTTGCCTCAGCAACTCTCTGTCGTCCGAGGTGATCTCTTCTCTTGCTGCCGTCCTTTTCTCCTGGGGCTGAACTCTTCTGTCTTCGACTTGGGCTGGAAGGATTTCTTGTCTGAGGATTCTTTTTTGCCCGCAAAGGGCGAAAGTTTCTTCGGGCCCGATGCCCGCGTTCAGGCTCTTTCCTGCCAGCGTCCAGCTGCAACTCCACTCCAACTGATTTCTGTCGACTGGGGTCCTGCTTTTATTGACGCCGCAACAAACTGGGGTGGGTCTGTCGGCGTCAGGGTTTTCTTGATAATTCCAAAAGTCGCATTATTTTTGATTTCTCATTATCGCTATTGTTTTCACCCCCTACTTCCTCACAGTGCCTTTTTGTGGGAGGTGCACACCCATCTCTCTTAGTCTCTCGTATGTCAGGTGACCGTTTTTCGACCAATGGTTCCTGATCGGGCATTTCTTTCTCTTCTTTTCTGCAGATCACGTGACCGTTTCCGACCAATTGTTATTGATCGAGAATCCTTTCTCCTCCGTTAAGGGCGTGGTTACATCGTTCTTGTTTTTAAAAAAAACAAAATCTAAGTTGGCCTTTTTCGCACGCATACGAAAAATGATAATCTTGGCTTTTTTCTCACCTGGGTTTTGTCAAACAGCCTGCCGCTAATTAGTTGTGACTTCAGGAAAGAATATTGTCGCCATCTGTGATCTGAGACAATCGTTTTTTTTTTCACCTCTTGTTTTTGTCAGACCCGGCAGTCAGAAAATCTTAATTTATCTGAATTGAAAACATCTTTCACTTTCGTCAATGTGGGGTTCTAATTTTTAACAGGTCAGAATCTGTATACCGTTCCACGGTCCTCCCCTCAACCCAAAAAGACACTTTTTCTCTGATTAAGATTTCGTTTTCATTGTTCCCAAAATTTCTCTTTATCCAAATTGATAAGATGTCTTTCTCATAAAAAGTAGGCTAGATGCTTTGACCGATATCTGGTTTTTCATCAAGCGGCCCGTTTTGATATCATGTCTTTTCCCTTTCTTTCTTTTTATTATTTCTAATTCTATTCTTCCAATTGTCTTTAAAAAATTCGGTCAACATGCTAGCTAAGATATCTTTCTGACTCATGTTTTTGTTAATGACCGAGAGAAATTGGAACAAAAACAGAAAAATATAAACAGAATGATATTGGGATGTCAGTTTTGCACTCTGAATTTTTCTCTTATTCTTTGCAGAGTGAAATTGTGCGAACACGAGCGACAACAACAGTGCGACCAAAGGACGATGTGTTCAGTATTGTCAAACAACAACTGAGAAACCTGCACAAATAAGCGTCAGAAAGTTTGACCCTTCCCAATCCGTTATCTTCGGAAGTCACCCATTCACGATGGTTTTTCTTTTTTTTTCTTTTCTTTTTTTTTCTTTTCTTTTTTTTTTTTTTCTGGGCAGATTTAAGGTTTTCTTTTTGATAAAAAAAAACAAAAAAACATGAAACAAAACAAACAGCAGTTTATCAAGGCTTTGACTTAATCGTGCCTTAAATTTGTAGGCTTGCATTTTGCATCCTGATGCCCTTTCTGAACTCAAAACAATATGCTCTCTGATAGAACCCTTTATTTTTTTTTCTGGGACATTTATGTTTTGAAAACTCATATTTTTTTTTCTCTGCATTTATTTCACAGTAGAAGAAATTTTAATTGGTAATTTTCATTAGAAATCTTTGAAAGTCGAATAACGGAACCAGACTACGAATGCTTCATTCTAGTGACCTTGGGCCAGACTACACTTGATAACTATTTAATGTCATAAATGTATATAGCATTGGCTAGTTAGCATATCTTGCAAACCAATTAACTAGCACAGTAAGTTCAATCTTTACAGGGTGCTCATTTTTGGGCCTTATGCCAGACTAAGCTTGATGCCCACTGTCCAATTTTGGGAACATTGAGCATCAGTGGGTCATTAATACAACCCTATAATAAATGCAGATTTTTATGAACCTATATTTAATACAAGATTTTTATTTTTTTTTTTATAATTTTATGGAGGACATTACTGTGTTAATTACTGGGTGCTCATTTTCTATGGCCTTGTGTCAGACTAAGCTTAATTTGATAAACCTTTAATGGTGTCTGGCATAGAGTATAGGTTAGTAACCAATTAAGTAGCATACTAAATTTAATCTTCATAAGGAGCTCATTTTCTATGGCCTTGTGCCAGACTAAGCTTAACTTTTTAAAGCATTAATGGTGTCTGGTATAGACTACTGGTTAATAACGAATTAAGTAGCATACTAAATTTAATCTTTACAGGGTGCTTATTTCTATGGCCTTGTGCCAGACGAAGCTTAACTTGGTAAATCATTAATGGTGTCTGGTATAGTGTTGTTTAGTAACCAGTTTAGTAGCATACTAAATTTAATCTTTAAGGGTGCTTTTTTCTATGGCCTTGTGCCAGACGAAGCTTAACTTGGTAAACCATTAATGGTGCCTGGTATAGTGTTGGTTAGTAAGCAATTTAGTAGCATACTAAATTTAATCTTTGCAAGGTGCTCATTTTCTATATCCTTGTGCCAGACTAAGCTTGGTAAATCATTAATGGTGTCTGGTATAGTGTTGGTTAGTAACCAATTAACCAACATATTACATTCAATCATTATTGCGTTCTCTGACACCATCTCAGCACTATACAAAAGAAATTGTCACATGACTTCATTGAGTTTATTTTGTATATCCACCATGTCAGATTTTATTATGCAAGTCTGTTTTCAAAAAAGGAGGACTATTAACAAATGAATGTTGGCAGAATCTTCAACAGATCGACCCTATAATAAGTTGTGTTCCAGCTTATGTCTAACCTTATTGAAAATATTGCTAAGCACGTAATTTCTGATTGTCAGATTTTATGAAGACAACAAATTAAATGCATTATAAATTTTGATTTGTAAATAAGTCCAAAAGATGTCAGCCATAGGCTCATATTTGATCAATGCAACATCCTCTTTGATATGATTTCCATGACATTCCCTGACCTTTATCAGTCTTTCGCTCTTTGATTTCGACTTTAACATTACTTACAACAGTTTTTACTGCTTCCCAGAGAATCATTTTTGCTCAAAGATTGTTTTCCATTCTCATAGGCATCACTTTCAATAATAGATCACAAGTTTTGTATTGTCTTCACTTTTAATGATAGATCACAAGTTTTCTATTGGATTAATATCTGGGGAGACCGGTGATCCTTCTGTTACTATATTTTCCAGCTTACAAGCTTGGAAGACGCACCCTAATATTGGAAAGAAATTTATTAAAAAAGCGTTATTCTCATACAAAAACTCATTCACCGTGTGTCCCTCACATACTGGCGCCACGTATTGTTTACATTAATCACTCGTTTGATTTTGTTTCTATGGCAGTGACGTACTAGTCAAGAGCAGAAAGGCTCCCACTTCTGATAGTAAACAGGGTATGTTTAAGCTTATAGCTCAGCTTCAGCAAGGTTTATAGTCTTGTAAATACTTGTAACAGCTAAGTACTGAGGTTACATCATATAAAAGGCTGAATTGACAGATAGCTAGCATTATAGTGTAATGACTCAGCATATAAATCCACATCCCTATCAGTCAAGCCAATTAGGTGACCGTCCAAGCTTACTTGAGCCTGGGCATTGCCTTATGTTTGTCTTGGAAGACACACACGTATTTTTCAGGGTATTTTTTTAGGAAAAAAAGGTGCATCTTGTAAGCCATAAAATACAGTAATTTGAAACCTTTTTTATTCATTTATTGGTAAGATGGACAATAGTCTTTGAAACAAGCAATAGCAAGCTTTGCAGAATATGAAGGAACATCATCATTCTGGAAGATATGCTTTAGTTCCAAGCTTTTTGGTTGTGACCTGTACCACTGAAAAAGTTTTTTTTCCAAGAAATTTCTACATTCATCTTGGTACCATCAATTTTTGAATGGACTTGGGTCATTCCATCTCAAATCAACCAATGACCTTCTCAGAAAATTCAGAGAAAATTCACAGGTGTTCATAAGTATATAAAACACGCCTAAGCTGTTTATATTCTTGTAATCTACAGTAAATATTAACTATTGCAACCAAGTCTCAAATTTAAATCCGCACAATGATCATGAATCCCATGAGCAATCAGGGGTCATAGGATCACCACATGTACTGCAGTTGGGGTGTTGTTTCTAGGGCAGGACAACCTGACAGAGTTCAACCCACTCAAGGTCGGTTTGAACTCAGCCTTCCAGTTCCTCAATCTGAGCCACTATCCATTACTCCACCAATCCGCCTTCTGTACATGCAATATCCTTTGTGCTATAAACGTCAAAAGTTCTCTGAAAGCCGTATTTAGCAAAACAAAAAAAAAATGAAGGACACATGGCACAGTGGATAAAGGCGTTAGTTAGATCCAGTGACAGGACCCAAAGAGCATGAGTTCAATACCCGGTTAAGGCAGTGGAGAACTTTCAGAGGGAAATTAACAGGAGATAACTAATAACTGACATCCATCTGACATGGCACATTGAACTAGAACAGTCTACCCCAGTGGGCAAAATATAGGGTTAAGTTCAACATTCCAACCACCTGAAGAAGGCTTGAGTGTACAATGGCCGAAACATTGTAATAAATATGGTGACAAAGATGAGGACAATAGTCCGAATAATGTAAATAATGAAGCTATCCATTTACAGAAAAATCTGGGAAAATTCACATCCACTTAATCTATGAACTTTTCAGCTGACCCACATACAATGCCATAATCTTTTCCTGAGTGATTTAGGCAATAATCAATAAAGAAATGTTGCAATGATGGAGCAAGGTCAGGAGTGTAAGGTGGATGAGGCAAAACGTTTTTATACAGTGCCATAATCTTTTCCTGAGTGATTTAGGCAATAATCAATAAAGAAATGTTGCAATGATGGAGCAAGGTCAGGAGTGTAAGGTGGATGAGGCAAAACGTTTTTATACAGTGCCATAATCTTTTCCTGAGTGATTTAGGCAATAATCAATAAAGAAATGTTGCAATGATGGAGCAAGGTCAGGAGTGTAAGGTGGATGAGGCAAAACGTTTTTATACAGTGCCATAATCTTTTTCTGATTCTACAATCTTGCATTATCATGTAAGAGCCACAAACCTTTACAATTAACCAATAATGGACACATTTCTGCAAATTTTTGCACAAGGCTTCCATTTGACAATACTTTTCCACATTAATTGTTTTGGTTTAGTGTAACAATTCATGACAGATGAGCAGGGCTGGAATATCCTTTCAGATAGTATAGGCTGCAGCCTGAGGCCCAGGATCGAATTATCTTTTAGGCTTGTATTGGCTGCAGCCTGGGGCCCAGGGCTAGATTATCCCTTGGGTTAGTATAGGCTACAGCTGGGCGCCCAGAGATAGATTATCCTTTAGGCTAGTATAGGCTACAGTTTCACTTTATTTGCAATAAGTTCACTTCAAGCTATGTAAATGTCACTAAGATATGTCACGAGTGAAAAATATTCAAAACAGGTGCAGACGAGTTAAAGATGATGAATTCCATCTGAAGTGGGTGGGTAATTTCATTAGCCTAGGGCTTTCAAAAGGTCATGATGTGGCCCTGCAGATGAGACCCTTAATATCCCACCAAAACTCAACTTATGACCCTTTTTTCGAGTGTTGCCCTGGTGTAGAGATAGATGCTTCTTTTCCTGTGAGTACTAACCATTGTCATTTTCGTTGGGTATGATAATAGAAAACTCAATTTTCGTTTCTGGCAATGATTCTACCTGAGGAAAGTTTGGTTACAAGTCTTTTCTTCAATGCTGAGCAGAGGGCAACTTTTTGGTTGAGCCAAGAAGCAGTCAGATGACCAAGTTTAGACACTTTTCTGAGTCCATAAAGATGTTTTATGATTTAAGCATTTTCTTGAGCTGTTCTCTTAATTCTCATACAATTTGCTTATGATTTTCCTGAACTATGGTTTGCAGAATATCAATATTGGCAGGGTGTTATCGTTTAGATCGAGGGGACACTCTGAGAGAGAAATTTCCCAATCAGAACTGGACAAGCTATCATTGACATGTACAGAGACTTTTATTTTAAAAGAGTAAAAATAGTATAAAAAAAAAAATTCATCCACTCTGATAAAAGAATCTTCAAAGAAAACAAAAAAGGCCATTGAAACTTAAAAATTAATGGATATTTTACGATAAGTATTGGAATCGTACTCTTGAAGTGATTCTGTCAAAACTGCCACAGGACTTTCTTTCCAACCTGAATATATATATATATA